AGATGGTTTTAATAAAAACAATAATACCACCCGAGTGTCTCCCCTTATTACCGGATCGCTGTGCGTCAACATAATAAGTACAATAATTTTCTAAATTAAAGGTGCATGAATCTACAAAGGTTTCAGTTAGAGCAATAATATCAAATTGTTTTAAATATGCAATAAATTCTGTATCGTCCCATTTACCTTTCAAACCTCTAACGTTCCAAACAAGTAATTTCACTGTAATGTTGTCAATTTCATGAGGGCGTTGACCAGACTGCTACTTTGGTTGGCATATGATCACTTTATGTTGAGCGTCGTCGTATTCGTACAGTGTTCGTTTTCTACTCTGTTTCATCACGAACAGGTTGTCATAATTCACGTATGCCCTTATGTTGGGCTCATCATTCTTCAACGCTTTTCTGAACTCGAACAATTTTTTCCTTTTAAATCTGATCTCTTTTGAATAGTCCTCATCAATATACATATTTGATCCTTGTAGCCGCGACGCGTTTTTTAGGATAATTTCTTTGTCCTTGTAGTTAGTACACATAGCGACGATAAGTTTTCCGCCATTGAAAGACGGGCCGGGCCGTTGACAACCTGATGCACTCTTTAAAATTCCACATTTGAAGTAATTTCTAATTTGTCTTTAATTATGCTTTTCACAATGGTTTCAGACTCTGCCCACGATTCCAAACTTTTCTCCTGGTGGACCCCTTTAAATACGAGGTTATTTCGGCGAGATCTGTTACTCATGTCGTCATATTTACTATGTAGTTCTTTTAACTCTGATTTTAATTCACGAATCCCGTTCAATACATCTGAACTGTATGAAAAGAAATGGCCCTCTAACTTGGTAGGATTTGATTTGGTATTGGGGGTTGTATTGATTAAATACACTTGAATATTCTGGTTTAGGAAATAGTACATTATGTCCCAGTATGATGTTAATATATTGTGAATTTTCCCCAGAGGAACATGCACATTCACTGCAGCATAATGTTCAAATCAAATACATTGACATGTTATTCACTATAAATGAAAAGAATCTGATGCAAACAGAGGGCAATCTACAAGTCCCCATTTTCGGTCTACGTCCACAACAGGAACTAAAAATATGTTGGGAGGATTAGAAATTGTATACACAGCTATTTTGTAGCGTGTTATGAGGTTATAACTGGTATGCTTTGGTATTTGGTAGCAAATATAAGACCTCTCTGAGGGTAATTAAATAGTCTTACTTGCCATTTATAACCTCTAAATAACTACACTATTACTCAAAATTTAAATATCATGATTTATTAATAGTTCTGCTTCATTTCATACAGAGACAACAAATTTGGCTCAAGAAAAAATAATTGTGTTAAGAACATAGTACCGATACATTCAATGACACCATGTGCTTTCTACAGAGGGTTTAATACTACAGTTTTTGTACATACACTTTCAAGTGTGAACCTGACCAAATTGTTTTCACAGATTTGTTTTCTTTGTGTCAGGTAGCTTTGAAAAGGTCACAACAAACATTTCTATGAAAACTGTATTTTTATATAGACAATAAGTGACAGAAACTAGAAAATTTTTTTATTCTCAATGTGGATCTAGTTAGAAGAGAAAAGCTGCTGTGAGTTGACCGAGTGAAACAAAACCAAAATTATCTTCCCTTGATATACTTTATGAGTTTGCAAAAGACACTGAATACAAAATAGTGACAATTATCAACACTGTAATTTCCATACCAAAAAAAAATTAAAACAATTTAACATATTTAAAAATATAACAAATACAATATAATATATAACATTTCTACAGATATGACATGCAATTTAAAATTGTATATAAAAAGTTAATGTGTGTGTGTGTATGAATAAGCAATCCTGCAAGTTACTTTTGACAAATAAATACATGTATATTACAGTGAAATGGGTACACAAACTGACAATATGTGGTTAAATATTTGTCACCGGACATTTTGTATAACAACACATGGTTGTATTGAGATACTCCATTATACCAAATGCCAGATTTTTTCTGTTAGGAGTATATACCAAAGTTTTGATGGGATTTAAGTACTCTTACACTGATTTATAAATGGTGATACCGTGCCATGGTTGATATGCATTTGTAATCAAAATACATCAAACATATGCTAGTAACTAAAACCTTTAATAATGTATACCTAACAGAATACAATGCATTGCAATCCTACATCACTTACCATGGCAAATCTGACATCCCACAATTATACAGCATCACCATTATCTCTCATGTGAATGCAACTTTTTTTTAAAAGGCTTTCCAAAATCATTGTTATAAAACCTGAAAACCAAGAGTCTGTAACAACCAAATAACATTTTCATTACACTACAATCATTAATTTCATGTTTATAAAAAAAAGTATATATTCATTTACAAATATTTATAAATTTAACCCTACGCAATGCTTGAAAGAAGATTCAAACTGAATTTCCTTCAGACAGTTATGTCAGTCACTATGATCTTCCAAAAAACATGTTGTTCTAAAAAATAACAATTTCACAAAAGACTATGAACTATATAAATAGATGAAACATTTTTTGACCCTTTTCATCTTTTTCATTTTGTGATAAATGTTCACCCTATTAGTTAATGATTTTCAAATTCTAAGTAATACAAAATAAAAAAAAAAAAAAATCTTGAAGAAGGTGGTAGAGTTTGGAGGTTGAAATCCTAATCACTGTAAATTTGATCAAGTGTCATTTTAAACAAATCATCATCATTTCTGTGAGAATTACAACCATACAGTTAATACCATATTCGGTGAAGTTCTGAATTGGCACACATTGCACATTACAAACTGCTGCACCATTTGTTACTATGGGTACCACTTTACTATTGGCAGTGACGATACAAATTATTTCAAGAAATATCGTAAGTAACGCTGCTTTTTTAATAAAAAAGATTTTTTTTAATTATATTTCTAGTGGCGTATGTTAGAAATGATTTCAAACTGTAAAATATGCCAGTCACAAATACTGTATAAAAAGTTGGCATTCTTGATAAAACTAATTAAAATACTATACTTGTACTTTTAAATGTAAGTGCAACAACTGAAGACATTCAACCTACTTATTTCTATCATATTCAACACATCAATCTATCACTGACAAGTAGGCCAAGTTGTTAGCTTGAACACAAGACTAAATTCCTGTCTCAATGTTCAATACCCCTCCTAAGTTTGAGGAGGGTTTACTCGTCAGTACATTCCAATTAAACAAATCAACTTTTGTTTGCACCAAGCAAATTTTTAATAGTTTATTGCTCAGTGAGAATTATATTTTTCAACAAAATTGAAACAACTGCATGAACGAAAAGCACGGTTTGATTTATATAAAAAATATAGAAAATGAAAAGCAACAATGGGTAAATAAATAAAAAATATACTGTTTTTTTTGTCTGTATGTTTTACAATGCTGTTAGTACTGTAACAATTACTGATGTTTCACAATTGCCATTACAAAAAAACAAAGTAGAATGTCCCAATAGTGCAGTGGTTACATGCCCCACATTGATGTTGAGAACTTTAATTGTTAATGAAGGATTTGCCAAAAAACCCTATATTAAATAACTATGGGACAGCCACATTGCTTCTTGTACTGTAAATTGTTTTAATTTCGCAAGAGACACACTTTCATTAATTTCCCAAGGGGACCTACAACATTAATTTCTAGTAGTGATGGTCATCACATTTCAGTCACTGTCATCACATAATGTCACTGCTATAGCCTGAGGCATACAGTCACTAACTTTACAAACTTGGTAATTTGGCTATGTGCAAACTTCTTTAACATATTACAGACTAGTTACAAACTTGTTATAAACTTGTTACAAAGCAGCACCTTTATACGTTGGATTCTTGAATGTTGATGTAGCTTGTTTGTAGATTGGATTCTCACCCTAGATACAAGATTATAAAAACAAATGTACTTTTGATGTATATAACCCTATAACGTTGTATCATGCATCAGGGTTGAATGTAATTTTATAAAAATATAGAAAACATACCCAATTTAACACCAAAATGATTCATAGTAACGAATCTATAAAATAAATTACACTACAACTATGGCCTGTAGGAAGTAAATGTTTTAAAGATACTTACCGCATCCCATTTTGCTTGCATCCTTTCCTTTTCAAATTTTGCAAATTCTCTTCTATCATGGATAGTAGTGAGCAATTTCCAGATCAACAGCAGAGCCAGACCAATAAATAAAATACCTAACACTACACCCAATACAATGAATAATGGATTCACAGCAACAGGACATGCTAAAGTAAAGATATATATCAAGGAATGTTCAATAAAAGTTGTAATCACAAGAAAACAGGGACAATAATGACATTTACGCCCAACCTATGATAAGGCAAGGTTTAGAATTTGAAATCATGTACAGAGTGATGATCTCACTTCATTCAAGATCAGTAGCAAGATTACTGTATAAGCAAGCAGAATAGGACAATAGGCAAAAATAACGATAGTTTTAAATGGAGATAACAAATGGGGTTTAATCAATTAAGTAGTACAACAATGAATATTCATTTAATTCCAACTTAAGATATTATGGTCATCGCACAGGTTGACCATTTTAAACCAATTTAATTAGCATAATGACATGCACCAAAATATAATGACACACCTTTGTCTTCATCAACATATAAAATGTGAGTTCCATTCTCTAACTGCCCTTGAATGAATGAGAATAAGCAGTCATCATCGTCACGGAAACGACACACATCAGCACCTTCACCTGAAATATT